AGACTCAATTAGTCTCAAGCTAAAGACCTTTGGCTGACATCTAGTCTCCTGTTTCAGCAGGGCATTCAGCTGGTGGAGCGGTTTCTGAGCGTCAGTTGTCAGTACCTCTATCAGCGTGACCCCTACTACAGCTCCTCAGCAGTAACTACCCTCCCGGGGCCTTCTCTCACCTCACTCCACAATATCAGGTCTCAGAGGCCTAGGAGGTGAGGGGACTCGTGGGCAAGAGGGGAGTGGCCCGGGGAGGGGGAGCTGTCCTGGGTGGAGGTGTTGGCAACGCAGCTGAGATGAAACCACTTTCCGTCAAGGAAAGTTGTCCATCTATGGACAACTCCGAGCAGCTGTTTCATGATTTTTGATCAGTGCCAGTTTTTGCAGGGGTGAAATGGTATCTCGTTGTAGTTTATAAAGCACTGACCCACGAGGCTGGTTTGAACCACAAGGTCATCAGTTCAAACTCACCATTCGCTCCTTGGAAACCCTGTACAAGGTTCCCATGAGTTGGAACAGATTGGATGGCACTTAAGAACAACATTAACAACAACATTAGTAACAACAACATTGACAACAACATTAGTTAATGGTTGTCAGCATCTTTACATGTGTTAGTTAATTATCTAGATGTTCTCTTTAGTGAAGTGTCTGTTCATATCCTTTCCCTATTAAAAAAAAAAAATGTCTTTTTGTTGTTGAATTGTTGAAGTTTTCTATATACATTAGAGATGAAAACTTTATCACTTATGTCATTACCAAAGATTTTTTCCAGGTCTGTAGATTCTCCTTTTAATATTTTGATAGTGTCTTTTTCTGAGCATAAGCATTTAATTTTCATAAGGTCCCAGTTATCTAATTTGTCTTCTGTTTTTTGTATGTTTGTTAGTCTATTTCTGCAAAAAAATTAGGTCCTATGGTTTTGTCCCTATGTTAGCTTCCAGGAACTTTGTCGTTTTAGCTTTAACATTTAAGTCTTTAATGCATTTTGAGTTCATTTTTGTGTGTGGTGTGAGGCATGTTTCGTTTTCCTGCAAATGGATACCAATTTTGCCAGCATCATTTGTTAAATTGGAATCCTTGTGTGGCACTTTGGGTTAATGCGCTGGACTGCAAATCATTTGATCCACAAGGTTGGTGGTTCAAGCTCACCAGCAGCTCTTTGGAAATCCAATACAGGGTCACTATGGGTCAGAACCAACTAGACAGCACTTAACAAATAACAAACAAAATTTGTTAAAAAGGCTGTTTCTTTTCCATTGAATGGACTTTGACCCCTTGTTGGAAATCAGCTGTCCATAGATGGATGAATTTGCTTTTGGCTTCTCAAATCTATTCCATTAGTCTATGTGTCTGTGATTGTACCAGTACCAGGCTGTATTGGTTGGTGTTGTTGCTAAGTGCCGTGGAGTGGATTCTGACCTTGTGGTTCACACTGACCTTGTGGCCATGAGATTGGAAGTGTGAGGTGTCTGCTTTGTTTCTTTTTCAATTTTGTTTTGGCTATTTGGGGCCTCTTTCCTTTCCATGTAAAGCTGGTGATTAGGTTTCCATTTCAGTAAAGGATGTCGTTAGGATTTAGATTTGGGTTGCACTGTATCAGCGGGTCACTTATCACTTATATAGATCTCTGTACCCAGTCTGGTCTTCTTATAACTCAGAAGTGATTAGGTTTAGGATCCACCCTACACTGTTATTGTTGTTGTTAAGTGCTGTCGAGTCAGTTCTGACCCTTAGCAACCCTGAACAGGGTTTCTGAGGTTGTAAATCTTTATGGGAAAAGAAAGCCTCATCTTTCTCCCGCAGAGCTGCTGGTAGCGTGGAACTGCTGACCTTGCGGACCACAGCCCGATTCATAAACACTATGCTACCAGAGCTCCTTTACACTGGTAAAAGCTCATTAAAAAAATCAAAAGAAAATCCCTGTTTCCAGATAGGATCACACCCACGTTATTTATGGGCTGAACAGTTCAGTTGGTAACAGTGGCCATTTCATCTCATATTACTCTCCCATTTACTCTTTCTGAGTCCCTAGAATACAGCAAGAGTCCTGGTGTGGTGCTACAGGTTAATGCACTGGACTGCAAGGTCAGTTCAAACCGTAAGGTCGGTGATTCAAGCTCACTAGCTGAATCCCTATCCAGGGTTGTTATGAGCTGGAATCAATTCGACAGAACTTAACAACAACAGAATACAGCAGAGCCCTGATGGTATAGTGGGTTATGTGTTAAGCTGTCAACCACAGGTTGACAGTTGACCATCTGCTCCGTATGAGAAAGATGAAGCTTTCTGCTTCCTTTGAGATTTATAGTCTTGGAAACCCTATTAACAGGGTAGCTATGACTTGGAATCAACTTGAAGGCACACACAACAACAATGACAGCAGAATACACCCAGTCTCGCCTTGTCTGGACTGTTGTTCCTCCAGCTGTCTACAAGGCTGGTTTCTTCTCAGCCATTCATTTATTCAACAAATGTTCATTGAGGCCTATCAATTATCTGGCAGTGTGCTAGATCCCAGGAACTCATTTGTGAACCAAAGGAACTCATTATCTACTGAGGTGGGAGACTCAATTCAAGTCATCCCATAGATCAGTGTCAATGGTGCTTGTATGTCTAGGAGGTATTGGATTCTTTCCTGAGGAAGTGAAGATAAGGCTGAAATCTGAAAGATGCGGAGGGGTTAACTGGACCTAAGACTTTCTGCCACTGAATTGAATCCGACTTATAGCGACCAAGGGTTTCCAGTTTATACCGACTGAGGGTCTCTGAGACTGTAGATCTTTACAGGAGCAGACAGCCTCATCTTTCTCCTTTGAACCACCAACATCATGGTTAGCAGCTCAATGCCTAACCCGTAGTGCCATCAGGGCTCATTTAATTGGGTGTGGAGGAAACAGGAGGTGCAGAGGCCGTGTGTTGGGCATGGAGGAAGAACAAAAGGCAGAAAGAAGGACTGGCGGCTGGAAGGGAGCAGAGAAGAGTCATCTAATGTACGGCCACATGGTGACCCATTCTGACTAAGTCTAACTGCTCTTACCTTCTCAGTATCTCAGATTGACCCACCTGTGTCCTTCTCCACACATCACCAGTGACCCTGCAGTGAGTCTGTGGGATAGTTCAGACTCCATTGGCCATCCTCAGCAGCATTCAACTACCTTCTTCCCTGGACTTCCATGATGGAGCACTCTTCTGGTTTTCTTTCTGCTTCTCTGAAAGACCTCATTCTGTCTCTGTCAGCCTCTTGGCTTGAACTTGGGAAGCTCAAGAACACATGAAACTAAGAAACCAAACCCACTGCCTTCAAGTGGATTCTGACTCATGCAACCCCATTGGACAGAGTAGATCTGCTTCATAAGGTTTTCAAGACAGTTAGTCTTTATGGGAACAGACAGCCTCATTTTTCTCCTGCACAGTTTCAACTGTTGACTTTGTGGTTAGCAGCTCAATGCTTAACTCACAGCACTGTCGTGTCCGACAACTGGCTATACTCCGCAACCTGCATGGAGAGATTAAACTTGAGCAGATGCGACAGGAAATTAGAAAAAAAGGAAGACAAAAGACACAAAATTAAAATAGTAAAGTTGAGACCAGGTGGGACACAGCACTCTGATGGAGATACTGTGACAGAGACCTAGATTCAGCACATTTATTATATCTCAAAGGAGGTGCTGGGGGCAGGGAAAAGAGTGCAAAAAACATTTGGTGTATTGATTCAAGCAGTAAGCAGGACTTTATCAGAAGAATGTAATTGCTAAGGAAACAAAGATAGGGCAACTTGATGTTTTTGCAGATTTGAACTGAAGGTCATACTAGGAAAAACCTTTGTCCCCCGAGGCAGCCCTGCAAGTTCCTCAGGGGGCAATTTGACCTGGGAGCAGCCTGATTTTCTGGACCACAGCTGTTCAGTTGCAACCCTTCGGTTAAACTGCCCCCAAGTCTGAGACCTTCAGCTCAAATCTCTCCCAACACAGCGCCACCATGGCTCCTTAATAACACGTAAAACCATGGCCACTGAATTGATACCAGCTTATCGAGACCCTGTAGGACAGAGGAGAAGTGCTCCTTGGGGTTTCCAACACTGTAAATCGTTTACAAGAGCAGACAGCTTCATCTTTCCTCTGCAGAGAGACTGGTGGATTTGAACCACCTACCTTGAGCTTAGCAGTCCAATGCTCAAGCCACAGTGCCACAGGGCTCCTTTAATAACACGTTGTTGCTGTTAAGTGCCATCAAGTTGGTTCTGACCCATAGTGACCCTGTCTAGGGTTTCTAAGGAGCAGCTGATGGGTTTAAACTGCTATCTTTGTGATTTGCAGTCCAGTGCTGATCCTACAGCACCACACTACTTAATAACACATTGTTGTTGTTAAGTGTTGTTGAGTCGATTCCGACCCATCGTGACCCTGTAGAGGGTTTCCAAGGAGGAGCTGGTGAGCTTGAACCACTGACCTTGCAGTTCAAACAACTTTGCAGTCTGACGCATTAGTCCACAGCGCCATACCATAACACATAGGGTGACGATAATTTTGCAGATGGCTGCCCTTGTTCATTTTGTTGATCCTTATTATTTACTAGATATGATCCTCTCATTAATTGGAATTTACTCCTCTTGGAACCCTCTGCTTATTTATCACGAGCAGAAGTCCTGGTGTGGTGCTGTGGATTAATACGCCAGACTGCAAAGCTGTTTGAACTGCAAGGTCAGTGGTTCAAACTCACCAGCTGCGCCTTGGAAACCCTATACAGGATCGCTATGGGTCGGAATCTACTCGAAGGCACTTAACAACAACAATGGGTTGGAATCGACTCCACGGCACTTAACAACAACAACAACATGCTTCTAGATAAAGGAATGTATATTATTTGCAAAGAATGAACTATTTTTAAAATGCAGGTTGACCCGGCTGCCTTTGGATTATATGACTGTGACCAGAATATTCCCAAGGAGAATCACCTCTTTAGGAATCCATTCCATGTCTCTGCATTCCCTTGTTTTCCCCTTGTAGCCATGGAAACAAAGAAGCCTTCTCTTGCCGGGGAATCCAGCTGGCTGTGGACTGGTTCCGGGGCAGAGGACACACCTCCATCAAGGTTTTTGTCCCATCCTGGAGGAAAGAACCATCAAGATCTGATACCCCTATTAGAGGTATGCTGCTGCAGAGAGACACTCATGTGGTCACACACATCTTTCCTCCTTAGCCCTCCTTACAACTGTAGCCAGCTAGCCACTTCATTCTTCATTTACTGGTATCTAGCGTAGTGGTTATGAATCGGGCTGCTAACCTCAGAGTCAGCAGTTCGAAACTACCAGCTAGAGAAAGGTGAGGCTTTCTGCTCTCATAAAAATTTACAGCCTAGGAAACCCTGTACAGGGTGGTTATGAGTCGGAACCGACTCCACGGCACACAACCACCACCACCACCACCGTTTTCACTGGAGTCCTGTGTGGTACTGCGGTTAGTGCACTGGACTGCAAGGTCTGGTTGAACCACAAGGTGGGTGGTTCAAGGTAACTAGCTGTTCCTTGGAAACCCTATATAGGGTTGCTATGAGTTGAATTGACTCAAAGGCACTTAACAACAGCAATAACAACCATCTTCCTCACTAAGGAGCTCTGGTAGCATAGTGGATTTTGAGCTGAGCTGCTAACCAAAAGGTCAGCAGTTCAAAGCTACCAGCCGCTCCATGGGAGAAAGATGTGGCTTTCTGCTCCCATAAAGATTTACAGCCTCGGATACCCTGTGTAGGGTTGCTATAAGTCGAAACTGACTCCATAGCACATAACCACCACCTTCCTCACTGGACTCTAAGCTCTGAGAAGGCTCCGACTATTATTCACTGCTATAGCCCTAGCACTCAGCATAGTGCCTGGCAGAGGGTTGGTGTTCAATAAATAGTTGTTGAATAGGTGAGTGAACAGTATCTTATGTTGTTGTTGTTAGGTGCTATCGTGTCGGTACCAACTCATAGCGACCCTATGCACAACAGAATGAAACACGGCCCAGTCCTGGGCCCACCTCACAATTGTCACCATGCTTAAGTCCATTGATGCTGCTGCTACTTGGCCAATCCATCTCACTGGGGGTCTTCCTCTTTTTCACTGACCTTACCAAATGTGATGTCCTTCTCCAGTGACTGGTCCCTCCTGACAATATGTCCAAAGTATGAGAGACAAAGTTTGGCCATCCTGGCCTCCAAGGAGCACTTTGGCTGCACTTCTAACAACACAGATCTGTTGGTTCTTTTGGCAGTCCATGGCACTTTCAATATTCTGCTCCAACACCATAACTCAAAAGCATCAATTCTTCTCTGGTCTTCCTTATTTACTGTCCAGCTTTCACTTGCATATGAGGTTATTGAAAATACCATGGCTTGGGTCGGGCGCACCTTAGTCCTCAGGCCTGACATCTTTGCTCTTCAACACTTTAAAAAGGTCTTGTGGAGGAGATTTGCCTAATGCAATACGTCATTTGATTTCTTGACTGCTGCTTCCATAAGTGTTGATGGTTGATCCTTCAAGAAGAATGAAGTCCTTGACAACTTCTATCTTTTCTCCCATTGATAAGAATGCTGTTTATTGGTCCAGTTGTGAGGATTTTTATTTTTGTTTTGTTTACATTGAGATGCAATCCATACCAAAGGCTGTGCTCTTTGATCTTCATCAGTAAGTATCCATCTTCTAGTGTCAATTATTAAGTTTTTAAAAATTTAAATAATACCTTAGGACTTTTAGCACTCTATGGTAACATAATGGTTATGAGTTAGGTTGCTAATCTTATGGTCAACAGTTCGAAACTATCAGCAGTTCCGTGGGAGAAAGATTTACAGCCTCGAAAACCCTGCATATGTGCAGAGTCGTTATGAGTCAGAACTGACTCCACAGCACATAATCACCACCACAGAAAGATTGGACCTGCATCCCACTCCTAACAAGTTCATCCGTAATTCACTCAGTCAAGTTGTTGTTGTTAAGTGCCGTTGAGTCGGTTGCAATTCATAGTAACCCTGCATAGGGTTTCAGAGGAGTGGCTGGTGGGACTGAAATGTAGTTAGCTGTCCAGTGCTTATCTTACAGAGCCACGCCAGGACTCCAGTAAGGTTGTTGTTACTGTTGTTAAGTGCTGTTTTGTTGGTTCTGACTCAAAGTGACCCTGAAGTGGGTTTGAACTGATGACCTTGTGGTTCACAGTCCAGTATTAATCCTACAGCACCATACCAGTCAGGCAGTGTTTATTTAATGAGCACCTAATCCAATCTCATGTATTTTATTGACTTAATTATTTTTGCTTTCCCCTTCAGCAAGTTAATGTTTGGCCCTCCAGTTAAAAACATAAGAAAAAGAATAAGACTCAGAAAGAAGTTGAAACCTAGTGAAATCTTGATTTTTGATTCTTGTATCAGAATATTTTAAGCTACAGAGAATAAAAAATGGTGGTTTAAACGGTTTTGTTTGTATTTGGTTTACTTTCTGTGCAAGATGTCTGATGCTAAACCATTGTTAGCATTGTATTAGCACAGCAAAGATGAAGTAGGGTAGGTCTCTGTGATTTAAGGAGATTTTCTTGACTTTTTCTTCCAGACTTTTACCAAAGACTTGTTTGTTGACTTCCATTTGTTTTTATTTTGACAATGGTTACCTGTTACTTCTTTATTTTCCTCTGTCTCTATCCTTTAAAAAAAAAAATAAAATGCTGTTCTTGTTTTATGGATGCAGCATTTCCTTGATTATTTCTCAAGTAATACAAACTTGAGAGGGCAATGGTTCTGTGGTAGAATTCTCGCCTTCCATGCACGAGACCTGGGTTCGTGATTCCTGACTCATGGGCCTCACATGTGCCCACCACTATTAGCTTTTCTGAGGTCAATTCTCTTTGTTCATCTTAGTCCCTCCTTGTGTGTGTGTGTCCGTGCGTATGAATGCTGTTGGGTCTTCCTGTCAAAAGTCTGGTGATCTTGGTCGTCAGCCTTCATTTGTGAATCAAGGTCTAGACTGGTTAAATATACACTTGACTGCATGGGTTTTCTCTCCTAGTTTGTGAACCTTTCTATGAATGGCAGCGCTGACCCTTTGTGGTTACTGGCAGATTTCACTTTAGCACACCAAAGCTTGGAGCAGGCAGGCAACTGCACACCTCTGCCTGCCATGAAGCCCAGGGTTACCAAGATGACAGCTCTACTTTGCGTAATCAACAGACATACAAGAGTCTTCCCTCTTCCTGGCTATAGCTTCACATTCTTTATGGTGGTTTTAGCCGAAGGGTAGGAAAAGAGGGGAAGTCCAGACCCCTGGACACACCTGCTCCATGGCCAGTCCTTCCATTGCTCATCCTGAGTCTGCTGACTCACCATGTCCTACCTGGAATGTTTTGAGGGAAATGATTCCCACCTTATCTCAGTCTGTCACACATTCTATTCTGGTCTGTCAATATGATCCCGTCTGCTTTCTGTCTTCCTAAAATGTGTCAAAATCCTGAGTTTGCTGCTGTCTGCAAGGCCATTTTTAATGTGTTTATGGGCCCCCCTTATGAACTTCTTTACTTCATTTCAGTGGGATTTTAACAAGGAGGGGGATCAATATCTGTGCTCAGTTCTCCATTATCAACTGGTTGCCCCTCCCCCCCCCAATTCTTTATGTTCTTAACATGGAGAATGGTGGCTTTCAACAGTTGTGCAATATTTAAATATACTTTACGTAAAGAGGAAGGAAATCATTTGGGGATCAAGAATTTTTAAAAAAGCCACCAATGTATGGACAAAAGATGAATGGATTTAACTGCATTAAAACAAAAGCTTCAGTTCATTCATATATGCCCTGAAAATAAAAACATGTAAAGGCAGGTCTCAGACTGGGAGAGGTCATATATTACTGACAAAGGATTACTGTCCAGAATCTGTCCAGATCTTCCCCAAACTAATATGACAAAGACAAAGGACCAATAGAAATATAGGCTAACGCATGAACAGGCCTTTCACATACAAAGAACATGTAAATGATGAATAAAGAAGTGACAAGATGTTCAGTCCCAGTAACCAGAGAAATGCAAAATAAAACTACAGTAAGAAGCCATTTTACACCCACCAGGTTGGCAAAAACTCAAAATTTTGAAAATTCCAAGCGTCAGCAAACCCCCACAAAACTAAACCCATTGCCAGCTAGAGAATTCTGAATCAGTTGTCCCGTATGCTGTGTTTGGTCTGTAAAGAGTACAACTTTTCTGGAAAGCAATTTGGCACCATCTTATAAATCACCCTTCTCTACAATTCAACAATATCCACTTCTAGAATAGACAGACCCCAGAACAACTCTTAGACTTCTATACCAGGAGACTTCCATGCAAAATTAATGCCAATGAACAGAACATAAATGGAAATGTAAGTGGGAAGAAAGCATGATCTGCGTTTTCCTCCTTGTGAACAGGACTCTTTCATAGACTTTCTGATCAAAACGTTCAGCAATGGAAGACTGCTATCCCTTCTCTGGTCTCAAGGCATAAGAGGTAGTTTCTTCATGGAGACGATTAGCCACACACTTCCTTTTTTTTTTTTACTCTGGACTCTCCTTCTCCCACTGTGGCTTCATGCAAACAGAGATCAAGTTAGGCCGGTAGATCTTTTATCCTCAGCTTTTCCTATGACATTTTTCTGCCTGTTAGAAACATCAGTTATAGCTGCTGCATTCTGGAATGTCTCTCAACAGATTCTTCTATTAGGGAGAAGACAGGCCTGTGACCCTCAGACACGGGCTCCCCACCAAAGCCTTACATATGGGATGGGTGTGAGGTTCCTAACAACTCCTGCACCATGGTTGGATGCCAGTAACAATATGAATGTCTCTCCTGGAGAGGCCTCTCTGTCCACCATGGTCCTGGTTCTTTTAAGGGCATTGCATCAGGGAATCATTAGACAAGCACTGTGGCCTAAGGTATCCTTAAACAGCTACTTCACCTTGCTGGGACGCATACTCCGGACTTCTCGTATGATATCACCAGATGCTACCGAATCAGTTCAGACTCACGGTGACTCCCTGTGTGTCAAAGTAGACATGTGCTCCACAGGGGTTTCCATAACCGATTTCTTGAAAGCAGATCACCAGGGCTTTCTTCCCAGGTCCCTCCGGGGGGGAGTCCAACCTCTAGTCTTTCTACTAATAGCCAACCCCATTAACCATTTACACCACCCAGAGACTCCTTATCAAACATACGCAGGTCAGAAGCTAAGAACCCTCTTGACCTTTGGCTGCGGGCAAATTCCATATGATTTAGTGAAAGAAGTTGACATTAACCCTAGAGGGGGTGGGGAGGGGGGCTGGGGTCCTCTGAGACAGTGGTGTATACCACCCCGTGTGCCCTGTGGCCCCCAGAGCGTCACGTGCTGGAGGAACTGGAGCGGCAGTCCGTGCTGGTGTATACCCCGTCTCGCAGGGTGAGCGGCAAGCGGGTGGTCTGTTATGACGACCGCTACATTGTCAAGTTGGCGTATGAGCAAGACGGCGTTATCGTCTCCAACGACAACTACCGAGACCTGCAAAGTGAGAACCCGGAGTGGAAGTGGTTCATCGAACAGCGACTGCTCATGTTCTCCTTTGTCAATGACAGGTATGTGTGGGGGAACAGGGTTCCGATGCCAGTGGGTGGGATGGGAGGACTAACACGCCACTCCCAGGAGTCTGAACAAAGCGGGTGGGCATCATGGACACACCATGTGGGGAGCAAAGTGGTCCCAGTCCTGGAAACAGAGCCACTCAGCCATTCTTGGTGTTTTCCCAAGGGGGCTGCTTCGTCACCATAGTCCCTGACCTATCTGTCCCCATGGTCACTGTCATCTAACTGACTCAGCACTGACTTACCCGACAAGTGGACCCAACGTGTTCAGAGAGCACCTGAAAGTTTTCTCTTTGGAAAGAACTTATAATACTTCAGATAAGAGCACAGAAAGTCATCATGGGGAGAAATTGGAACATGGTTCACTTTCTCTGGCATATTTTATGGTTTTATGTGTCTTTTTGTTTTGAAATTTTGAATGATATGCAACATAACCTTTTCTGTGGCTCTAGACTGGAATTCATGACTCCTGGTGTGGCACTGTAGGATCAGCACTGGACTGTGAACCACAAGGTCCGCAGTTCAAACCCACCAGCTGCTCCTTGGAAACCGTATACAGGGTCACTTTGAGTTGGCACTTAAAAGACAGAGTGGGACTCAGGTTCCATTTCCAAGCCCCAAGGGGTCACTGTTGTCTCACAATCTCTGCAGCAGTAGAGGGGGAACCCCCTTCTGAGTCCAGGGCAGATATTGCCCCATAGTACCTCTCACTGTCATATCCAGATACAGGCCAGCGGCTCCCACTGTCCTGTTCAGGCCCAGAGGGATCTGGCCAATTTCTTAATTAACCGTGTGTTCCAGAAAATGCTCACTGTGGTCTAATGGTCCTGGCTGTATCTGGTGCCTGACCAAGTCCTTATGACACACTGGCCTCTGCTAAGGGCCTGCCATGGCCCTGTGGACGAAGGCACTCACCCTGGAGCCCCAGGCATGTCCACTGGGCCCTCTTGGCACAGTTGTGACTGCCGAGACCTATGAGAGAGCAGGGGGTGAAGTCTGGAATCACTCCAGTGGCCGCTCCCAGATTCTTGGCTGGGGACCAGCTCTGAGCAGGCTGTGTAGCTGGGATCTGAGCCAGAGGCTGCATAGGACCCAGGATGGCCCAGCTCCCGGGACTGGGCTAGTATGCAGGGCCTGCAGGGTGGACGCCAGCATGATCCTTAGGAGACCACTAGCCCAGAAAACAGGTCCCTACTTAGAATCCACAACCCCCTCCAGAGAACCTTTGTCTCCAGGTAATGAAGGTCTGAAAAAACAGATCCCGCTCAAGGGAGGAGAATGTTCCTCCTGAGGAATTTTGTTTTCCCCTTTGAGTGTGAGCACCTGCCTTGTTAGGACTTAATGCTGGAGAGGAGAGCTAGACAAGGTAGAGGTGGAACACCAGGTGAAGAAGAGTCAGGGTGCTCTAGGCAAAGCCAGAGTCTCCCGGGCTGCAGAAGGGTGGCCACTGAGGCTTTGGACCCATTGAGTTGGTACCTTGGAAGAAAGGGCTGGCAATGGACTTTTGAAAAGTCAGAGCTTTGAAAACCCTAGGCTGCATGGCTCTAATGGAGGTGCTGTAAGTCTGAATCGACTTTACAGTAACAGGACTGGTGGCGAGGAAGGCAGCTTTCAGAGCAGAACCCAGGAAAGCCCTGTACCAATTACACTTCAGGTGCCGTGGCTGAGCATCACCTGGCCAGCTTGAGAGTCTGATGAAGCCCTGGGGCCTGCATTTTGTAAAACAAATTCCTAGGTGATACCATGCTGACCCTGCAGCCCTGACCTATACCACACAGACACCCTCCAGGGCCCAGGTGGCCAGTCCCCTGTGATCTTGTTGGGCCCTATGTTTGCTGCTTTAAAACACTATGAAACCCAGGCCTGGACCAGCTCCCTTGTCAGTATCAGGGATGAGTTGGTTTTGCTGTCATCTCCCTGTGCTTATTTCCAGGTTTATGCCTCCTGATGACCCCCTGGGCCGCCGAGGACCCACCCTGAGCAACTTTCTAAGCCGGAAACCCAAGCCTCCGGCACCATCCTGGCAACACTGCCCCTACGGTGGGTGGCACCCTGGGACTTTATGTACCCTAGGACTGTTCTGGGCAGCTCAGGGGTACAGTGACAAGCACTGGCCTGGTGCTCAGCAGCCTGGGTTCTAATCCGGATTCTGCCCTCAACCAGCTGTGTGACGCTGGAGCGGTAACTTACCCTCTCTGGGCCGTAGTTTCCAGACAGGGCGATTGGAACGATGAACTGATCTCATGTTTGTCTATTGCATGGGTACTTCTGTGAGGGCCGGATGCAAGGTCACACTCAGGTCAAGACTGAGTCCAGGAAGCAGGAAGGCTGTGGGCACCACAAAACTTCCCTTTCTCAGTTCCTTCTCCTGATACCTCAGACCCTCATGGGCTTCTGCCAGTTAAGGGGTTTGCCCTACTGGGACCCAGCCTCTAGCCAGTTCTTTCACTAGCTCTGCTTTGGCAAGTTCTGCCCTAGTCTTGGATTTTGTGCCTTGTTAGAAAGGCACAGAACTCAACAAAAGCTTGTTGTGGCCCCTTTCCGTCTCAAAAGTGCCCCAGTTTGGATGATCAAGTCTTTGATCCCCTTAATTAGAACCCTCTGTAAGAGGGCAGTGGTGGAAACCCAGGCAGCACTGGTGATAAATTCCTCTGGTCATCTACTCACCACCCCCACAGGTCTCTGGGAAAGTGCACGTTGAAATACACTAGACCTAGAGGTTTGTTCTTAGTGTCAGAAGGGAGTTCCCAGCCCCGACACCCACTCTTCTCCGTCTTGGGCTTGGTGAGCACCACACCACTAATCCTGCCCGAAGCGAGGGACGCCAATTCCAAGGCCTTTCGGTGGCGTCTGCAGCGACCAGGCAGCCTTCCTGGAGCAAGGTGTCTCCCAGCCCGAGGTCTCACCCGCGCCCTGTGTCTCTCTCCCGCCCTTTCCAGGCAAAAAATGTACTTATGGCATCAAGTGCAAGTTCTACCACCCAGAGAGGCCGCACCGCGCGCAGTTGGCCGTGGCGGACGAGCTGCGTGCCCAAACCCGGGCCTGGCCAGGAGCGGGCGCCTGGGAGGAGAGGCGGCGGGCCTCGGGGGCGGCGGCCGGCAGTTCTCCGGGCGCCCTGGCACCTACCCGACTCGAGCCCCGGGCCTCCGGCGGCGCGCACAGTCTCCCACCGGAGCGACCTGCCAGCAACGTGGCAGCCCTGGAAGGGTGCTTCTCCCGGCTCGCCGTCAGCGACGATCTGGGGCTTTTGGGAACCCTCTCCCCCGGTCCAGGCCTCGCGCCAGGGTTGTGCTGTCCCGACTGGGTGCTCGCTGGTGGCTTCGTCTCCGGGACCTTGCCGTGCCCACGGGCACCTTCGTGCCCCGAAGCTCCAGAGCCAGCCCTGCCCGGCTGCTCGAGCCCCCAGCGCCCGTTTGCCCCTGGCGATCACCCACCGCAGTCCGGCCCGTGGAGTGGGTTCTGCCCCAAGGACCTACAGAATGACCTGCTTCCCCCTGGCCCGCAGTCGGAGGAGTCGTGGGTCCTCCCACAAGTGCCGGACCGCTTCCCAGGCCGCTCGACCTGGGCAGAGTCGGGCTGGGGAGACTGCACCTTTGGGGGGCCCTCTGAGTACTCGCCCTCCGCTGCCGACAGCGTGTTGGACGCACGCTTGAGGGCGCGTAGCACACTCTGCAGCATCTTCCCGCACGAGCAGGTGGACCGCGTGATGCTCTTGTATCCAGAACAGTCGGACACCACCCAGCTCATCCTCCTCATCCAGAGATTCCAACGGACTGGGGCGCCGCTGGGAACCCCGGAAGGAACTTGTCCACGGGACTGCAAGTAATGCCCCAGTCGCCCCTGAGACGTGGGCCAAGTGGTCAGTTACATGCCTGAACCTGAGCCCGCACACCCTAGAAACTAACAACAAAATCCCAAACAAATCCAAGCCCATTGTTGTGGACTTGATTCTGTCGCATAGCGACCTTGTAGGACAGAATAGAATTGCCCCATAGGGGTTCCAAGGTTGGAGTGTTTACTGAAGCAGATTGCCACTTTGCGTCTGTGGATTGGAACCAGCAGCAGAGCTTGGACGACTGCGTCACCAGAGTTCCTTGCCCCCTTTACTTTAAAAACTGCTTCCTCAGTCTCTGTGGCCTGTCGTGGCATCCAATGACCCTCAATGACTCTGGCGTGCTTCGTGCAGAACCAGCCCTGGGGGAAAAGGTTGGCGGTACTGCCAGAAAGACTATAAGGTGCCATTGCAAGCCCCAAGGGTTTGTAGGACATAGTTCCTGGCTGTTTTCATTAAACTTCATGTGAGATCCACAGGACGATCACAAAATCAATTTAGTGAGTCACACCAGAAATGATGGAATGGGTCGTGTGGGGCACACCCCAGGTAATGAGGCTAAATATTATTTCCTAAACTGTTGTATGTTATTTACATATCTGTGCTTGTGCCTGTTTATCCTTGGGGCCCATGTCATATTTGCTTAATGTGGGTCACAGTCAAAGTTTGAAAAAAATATACTGGTGGTCTTGAATCAAATAGTGGTACAAATATGTAGCCAGGTTGCCAGTGGAGATTTTGGTATCCAGAACTTTTCATGTTTCTAACCTTGCTTGTGATGGGGATCAGTGTCCTTACCTGGGTGTGTGGCTCCCCTAGACACACTGAGATCCTGGGGTGGTGCTGGTGTACAGGTGTGCTAGACATTTTGGTTTGAGGGCCTGTCTTTGAGGCTTTACCCTTCTTGAATATATCATACACAGGTATACCCAGGTATACACACCACACACACACATACACACACAAGCCCCTCATACGTTATACACAAACACATACAGCCATTCTTGCTTAGGGCTAAGCACCCTCATTTTTTCAAACCTCCACATGGTGGTTTTGGCATTGGAGCCTCTAAAACCTGAGCCTGGACTTTTGCTCCAGTGGGCAGCGAGACAGCTGGGATGAGCCTTGATCCCTGAAGCTCATTGCCACTTCCTTGCCAGTGCTATGCCTTCTGGACAGGCACTGCTTTGAGTTTGGGGGGAAAGCAGGGATGAAGGGCCCAGACATTCCTAGTGTTGCAGGGCAGGAGCCCTGACATCCTCACCAGGGAGGCTGGTGCTCCCTTGTGCCTGGTTGTTTGTGATTATGGCTCTCATCTCATTTGTTAACAGGATGTGTTAGCTTGACCATTCAGGGAGAGTGTGAGGCACCCACTGGTGGAAAAGAGCCCTACACTCTGTAAGCTTCCTGCAGTCTGGCAAGGCCAGAGAGAGACTTAGTTTATACCAGGCTGCCTCTAATGTTAGCACAGTTTAGGGGCACCGCACAAAATTCCATTTCCAGCCATCTTATTCACGGTGTGCCGTGGACTCAATTCTGACACACAACGACACAGAGTGGAGCTGCCCTCACTTGTTAAATATACTATATTATGCTTTCTGGTGATTCCTTTCATCTTGTTTTATTTTAAAGTATTTTTATTGTGGTGAAATATATATAACAAAAAATTGTAACCATTCCAACTATTTTAAAGTGTACAATTCAGTGGCATTATTTACACTCACTTTGCTGTACTACTATTGCTGTTCTTCATGTCCAGAATCTTCTTTAGAAACTATATTCTTAGCAGGGCTTGAGCCAGCTCTCTCTCGCCCCCTACTTTTCCAAAGAGGACCTGCAATTTTCCCTGGTACGTTGGGGTGTAGGAGGGCCTGCTCTTTATAGATAAATTGGATTTTCCTTGTGACTTTTTTTTCTTTTTCTTTTGACAAGACAGACTTCCTGTCTGGACTGCTTTCTGTCCATCAGATATGATTCCTGCCACAGAATCATTGCAACACTGATTTATAGTTGGAAATGTTTAAACTGCTTCCTTTGAGGGCAGGTTTGAGTTTTAGTAAGCTGTAAAGCTGTTTTTCATTTGCTTCACGGTGATTAAGACAAGCACAAGAACAAGTGCAGAAACAACACATTTTAAGTGTAATCCCCTTTGGAGTTCTTTCCAAAGTCTTTGTATGTCTTTGTGACACAAACAATGGAAGGGACGGTGTGGTGTCTGGAACGTCCCTAGCTGCCTAGCTGTTACTATACTCTTGGAATAAATCACTTTTCCCCACACCTAGCCTCTTCATTGTCAAATTATACATCCAAGTTCTCGCATGTCGACTCCTTACCCTAGGTTGGGTTTTTATGTTATATATTGTGGGTGTGAAGACAAATTGTGGCTGGCTTCAGTAGCTGCTACACAGTGTGGGTCCATATTTGGAGGGGAGAGGGACACAGTTTGCTTTTTCCAGGGGCTAGAATGCTTGGAGTCACTAGTAGCCCAAACCGTTAAGCTCTGGACTGCTAAAGAAGGTTGGTAACTTGAATCTACCAGAGACACCTGGGAAGAAAGCCTGGTGATGTATATCTGAAAAATCAGCTGTTGAAATCCAGTGGAGCACAGTTCTACTCTGAACCACATAGAGTCAAGACAGGAATCGACCGGATGGCAACTGCTTTAGAATCCACCTTTTCCAGGAGAGACAAGGGTATCTGCAAGGTTGTTTCCAAGGACATCCTCATCACAGAACTGAAGTATTAGCACCAAAACTGACTTCTGCTTAAACCTGCAAACCTTAAACCTTGAGTTTGCAAATCAAGGGAACCCTGGGCTAGGCTATATTTGCCTCTGTTGTGTCTTTCCAGAGACCTATGCCTAAAAGATGGTTTGAGGCAAAATTTGGAGGCTGGGTAGAGGGCCAGTTGAAGCAAGAGTACCATTCATGTTGGCATTGTTCCAGATAAAATGGATCACAGCTCTCTTGATTTTCACAGAACTCAGATGAGAGCAAGGAGCCAGCCTCCAGGTGCCACAAGTGCAGTTTGGACCAAGGCACAGAGTGGCCTGCTTCTTGGAGAAAGGTCCACTTATGATTAGGGGAAGAAGAGTACAGGGGTGTGGTGATGGTGGGGGGCACAGAAGGATGGGGAAGATCCAAGATGGAGGCAGTGGGTGGGGATTCTGGGAACTGGAGCAATGAACTGAAATCACAAACACCCAAGATGAGGGGATGTGTGGAGCCAGGAGCAGCTGCATTGTTGTGGGGTTCAAAGATGATGAATTTCAAGATAGTGACAGTTGAGCATGAAACCAAGCTCCAAGCCCCTCTGACTGGGGCGTGTGGGACCCGGAGATTGCTAAACACATTGAGGGAGACAGACTCACTCAGCGTGTAGCTGGGTAAGGCCAGGTGCACTCTGGGTGGGCAGTGGGCCCCAAGCATCCAAGCCACACCAGGGCCTCTGTCTAACAGACTGCCTACTCATCCTCCAAGGACTGACTTGGCTTCCTTTGACTTTCCCTGTCCATCCAAGGGGAGAAGGAGGAGAAGTCGAGGGACTTGGGCAAATCGCACCCTGGACCATCCACTTCCAAATGGGTAAGAGATGTCAGTCAGGGCAGTATGCTTACTGGTTTGTGTTTAGTGAGGTTCTTGAAAGCAGCTGTGGGATTAAACCATGTCAGGACTCTCCTCTTTCCTTTTAAGTTTTCCCTACACAATGAGAGCCCTTCTGCTGGCAGACCTAAACATATATCCTTGCAGCTAAAGGTGGTGCAAACACATGAATGTGAACAGAAAGGTTTGACATTTGAGTCTACCCAGAGACACTTCAGAAGAAAGTCCTGGGAATCTAGTTTAGAAGAATCAGCCAGTGCAAACCCTACGGAGCACTGTTCTCCTCTGACACACTGGATTGTCATAACTTGGAGTTGACTCAATGGTAACACTTGATAAAGGCCTCACGGTGGTGGTGGTGTGTGCTATCTAGTGATTCCAACTCATAGCGAGCCTGCATAGGGTTTTGGAGGCTGTAAATATTCATGGGAGCAGAAAGTCCCGTCTTAATTCCGCAGAGCGACTAGTGGATTCAAACTCCTGACCTTGTAGTTAGCTGCCCAGTTTGTAATCTGCTGTGTTACCAAGGCTCCTTTCAGGCTCGAGCAGTAGTCCCAGAAAAATCTCGGGAAAGGATTCTGATTGGTCTGACTTATCATGTTTCCATGCCTGGACCAATCACTGTGGGGTAGAGAAGTACCTATTTCTGGCTAGGATGAGGGTATATTCAGTGACTGTCAGTTCCTACCCAAGTCCACATAGTTGAGGGGTTGGTGTGAACACCTCTTTCAAAGAAGGGGGGATGGCAGTGGTCTGGTAGACAAAGCCCAAGCCCACCACTCTGTTCATACTTGGGGACGGTGCTGGGGGCTGGGAGCTCTGGGCTTGGTGAGGGAGACTGGGCTGGGAGGAAACGCTATATCTACCCAACCATAGATGGCACAGCCCTCCATGGGAGCCCCTGCTGCTATGGTGGGCCCTGAAGTGCCAAGCCCAGGACTCCCCCCCCAGATGAGCACACCTATGGAGGCTCTTCAGAGTCAAAAGGTGACCTGTGACCTTTGCCTTACCTCTGACCCATTGTCCTCTACAGTCCAGGAAGCTCTCAGACTCACAGCAAGGCTGACAGTGAGGGGCTGGGGGACTGGCCCAGCTCAGGGCTAATATGTTCTGAGTTCTGTCTTCTTGGAGCAGTAACACACTATCCCAATGCCAACACACAGGCGAGATGCAAACGGGCCCATGCTGAGGACTCAGCCCAAGCTCTGTGCTTGTTGACAAGGTTGAAATGCTGTTGTAAGTGCGTCTGTTATTTAAACAGGGTCAGCAAATCACAATAGGTTTGATTTCGTTGGCATTTAAATAGTGTCTGCTTGTTCAAACACTGCTCACCTACCTTAGTTCCAGCCATCATACTGTTGTTGTTGTTAAGTGCCATTTTTATAACTTAAA